GCCCCGTCGGAGTGAAATGTTCAGAGGAGCCTCAGGCCTTTTGGTTGTCTATTTCTCAGTAGCATTGMCACTCTCTCCCTAAATATTTTCTATAAGCTTTTCTTGAAAATGACAAAACATACACACATAAAAGAAAAAAAAAACACAGAAAACAACCAAAAAAAATCCCAAGTTACTCAACCATACTAAATACCCTAGTTGTTAAGAAAAGAAAACCCCGCTGTTAAGGATTTAATACCARCCTTAACACTGCTGTCACGTGCCTACCAATTTTACACTGCTGTGCAGAAGCTGCCACACGTATCTCCTGCCCTCCTTGCCGTGCAGATGAACTCCATCAGCTCCTGCTCACATCTGCACTCCCCCTTCCACCTGCATTTAGTACAAAGAAYCCCTTGCTCCACTGGGTGGGAAAAACAAAGATGTGTTTCCTTAGCTCAAGTTGACTAAGTTAGGCTAAGACAGCATGAAAACAAAATAGCTTGGGTTAGCAGATGGAGATCTGCTCTGGAATTTCCAAAGGCTCTGGCTGAAGCTGCAAACCTGAGTTGCCTCGTCTCTATTGCTATTTTAACCCCAGCTAGCAAGCCTGGGCCAACCCACCCACGTTCAGAGACAACCTTTATTTGCAATATAAACATTTCCCATGTCACAACGCATGAAGGGCAAATCTGCAAGCTTTCATATGGGAAAAGACAACTGCTTTTGCCAGCCACGGGTTGCTAATGCCCACCTGTCTTCTATTAGTGTCCTAATGAGGAGTTAGGATATGTCTTGGGGTCTAATGACCGACCTGCGGAAGGGAAGGTAGAGCCTGGCTTGCATGTGTTGTCCCCTCAGCAGGGAGGCTCCCATGTGTTAGGGAGAGTGGCTCCACTTCCATCTACATGGGGTGAAACCAGAGGGAAAAATCCCTTTCATGAGGGATTGAGGGGTCTCCTAGAGAGAGCGTTTAAGCAGCAGGCTGGGAGGAAGAGGACTTCCGATCACAGAGGGGGTTGATGCAATGACTTGCTTCCCAAGTACAGAGTGAACAATCATGCTCTTAATTTAAATACAAGTGATGAGTTGTAAGAGTGGTGAAAATGGCAAATAAATTCTAGGAAATTGCATATAAAGAGGAATTGTTGTTATTAAATCATTTAGCGTGGATGTGTTTCAAATCTAGCTCACAGTTGAAGCTGTTTTACAGCTATAGCTGTGGAATTTTAACAAAATCGCAGAATTGCAACGTATCTGCCAGGGATTTATTTTAAGGACTGTAGGATGGTTATAGAAATGAATCTCAATAAATTCAACATGTTGTTGTGATCCGAACTTTTTCAGTGATTTCTATTGAAATTCTGTGTGCAAGAACCAACGGCACGTGTGTATTTGTGCGCATATATGTACACAAATGCTCAATTGCCAACTCCAGACAGACTTTCTGCAGCCTGCCCTTTCAGGATATTGATATAATTTCTTAACATTAGCATCATGTTTTGTTTTTCACTTCTCCCCAGAGATCTCTTGTTTCCTAAGACCTTCCTCCTTTCTGTAGGCCAAAGGGAAACTCTTATACTGTCCAACACACTCCTGGTACTTGACCTCACTCCAAGTATTGGGTGATGATCCCAACAGCCCTGRATTGCCTGTGACTCCTCTTGATGTCTGCATGAGCGTGTATATGTGTTTGTGGACATGCACATCTGCTAGAGGCAACTCTAGATTGGCTGCTTTCCCTGTTCTACCCTGTCCATGAGCAGAATAGAAATCTAGTCCATGGCTGGTTCTGTGGACCAGTGGCCAACATTAGCTCTCATTCATTTTTCTCCCAAAATGATATCTGGTATTTCTACTTTAAAAACATCTTTACTTTTCACTCGCTGGTCTAGCTTTGCAAAGTCCATAATTCCCAGGTGCTCCTATCCCACTCTTCTTTGTATGGGAATGAATTTCCCATTGGAATTTTGCCACCAATGCACCAGGAGAGAAAGAAAAATTCTCAAAATTTGTCCTTATGCTTGCATATTTCCAACAGATGCCTGAAGTATTAAAAATAAATAAATAAATAAATAAAAACCAACCCAAGCATGGGCAATGAGCACTGAAAATGCTGGCTCTAAGGCAGTAGAGATCAAACTTATTCTCAGATAGTCTCAATGGTTTTGAAATGCCTACTGACATGGATACGGCTGTTAGCTTCCCGCTCCAGAGCTCTGGTAAGTAAAGCATGTGCTCACAGTCACCCGATGGCCTCGACAATTCTCCTTCACTTCAGGGATAAGCCACAGAGCAGAACCTGCTTGGTGGTCCATGGGAAGGACTGCATGCCTTAATGAACTCAAGCATTGCAACCATTTCTATTCCTTAGAAGATCTCTAATTCATCAGTAATGTTTCTATAGCATAAAGGCCAAAAACCCTAGCAGCAGTTTTAGAAATATATTTTAGATATGTATTTTCCTCTGCTTATTTAATAAGTACAAGGTTTTTAATGAACAGAATGGGATGATGCAGTGGGAGGACAATGGGGACAATGAAGAAACGCATACTGAAGCTCTGAGCATTGCTCTCTATGTGACCGTCTCTCGAACATTTGCCCTCTCTGACCGTGGTTCCACTGTGGAGGCCATATGGCTTCCAACTCTCATTTAAGTAGCCACTGAGAATTGACTACAGTGGAATACTGCCAAAGCCCTTTCTGGTTTAATGACATGGGAAGAGCGCTGTGCCGTGTTCACCCAGCACAGAGCCTCGCTGCGTCCTTGATAACGATTCTGGAGCCAGCAAGTGATGCTGGGAATTGAACCATCAGTGCCTCACATGCAGAAGTCGACATGTGCCAACCCCTGCTGCACTCAGCCTCTGTGCATGGCATATTAATTAGTCTTGAACTTGAGGTCCAACCTTCAAGCTTGCACATAAGAAACACCCTCTGCCCCTAAAATAGGTCCTTTTCACCCTCTATCCCTCTAGCCTTACACAAAGATGCTTCTTTATCCTCTTAAATTGCACAGTCTTTTAAATAGGAACCTTTTATTTTYGGCTAGCAAATTTACACTGGTCAAGATTGTAAGTCTACACGCTTAAAAACAAATTTCCTTTATTTAGAGACCTGAAAAGGCACCTAGAAAATATACTCAAAATGAAATCATTAGGGTAAACAAGGGGACAGATCCCTTTGTACTGACCGTCTTTCTGATACTCTCTCCACAAAAACCTGCTGCATGTTGGAGTCAGGATATGACATCAGAAGGATCTTTGTTCTGCCTATTTTTCTGTGGTTATCTGTGTGTGTGCAGGGCAGGGGGAAGCTGCTCAGCCACATAGCTACATCCCTGCAGGATCCAACCAGCAGGAATGACCGTTGCTGGGGAGCCCCTCGGTGACCTGGGTGACAGAAAGGGAGCCAGATCCTATAGAAATCTGTGATGCATTACATCCCCACTGCAGAACCTGACCTGTAACTGCTCAGTGATATTTTACTTGTAGCCCCTCATTTAGAAATAGAAGGCATGGCCATCTACTCATCAGCCGGAGCATCGCATTTAAGGAAACTCTGCAGCTCTTCTTTCAGCCTTGCAAATACCTAGTGCATAGAGAATACCACTGTATTATTCTCTAAGAAACAACTTCTCTCTGTGTACATCCTTGGCTGCAGTGGCACAATAGAGACAAAAAAAAATCCCCTACAGAAGGGCACTTTCTTTCTTTGGAAAGGGCTGCACCACTAGAGAGAAATTTGATAAGCTATGAAAGCTGTGTTACAAACTCCTACTGCAAATCTGTCCAAAAGTCAGAGAACGGGACAGCTTGTAGAGCATGAACAGAGCCAAAGTAAAATGTAACCCTCCAGGACAGAATGTTTCTCTGGAGGATAGAAAGAAGGACAACACATCATCAACTCCAAATCCACAGCCAAAAGCCTCCCTAAGCAAAGATAACAGATAGAACAAGCCTGCTAAAAATCGCATTCTGAATTTTAKTTTTGTCAAGAAACAAAACAAAATAAGTTATGATGTTCATGTACTCGTCTCACCTTTGAAACCTTTCAGAAGCATTAACTAATCAATGTCCACAACAATCCCCAGTGAAAGCCCACAGCTCAGGAGATTATGAAAGGAAGGTCATGAGATTTATCCCACTCCTGAAAACCACAGTAGTAGATGTGCACTGTTCTGGGCAGCTGGCCTGAGGTGTCAGCGAAAGCCAGTCTGCTTCATGTGTCAGCTCTGCAGTCTCACATGGTGCAGTGCTCAGGCTCCTAATCCTTGCACTAGACAAATGCAAACACCAGGTACCTTTGCAGAAGCTGATGATGGTGTTCTTCAACKGCACACTCCTTGTCTATTCGTCTGCTCATTTCAATCACTAGTAGCCATAACAGAGCACAAACAACACATCGTAGCAGCTGGTCATACACAGTGACTCCAGCCCATATATGCTATCGCTCAATACTCCTGCCTGTACTGTAACGGACAATATTTTTWAAAAATTCACCCCGCCTTTTTCCAACACAAAATTATTGCAATCATAGCATTCATGCAGTGCTCTAATATTTCCTGAGATCCTGAAATAAAACAGCATATTATTACTATTTTAAACCAGCCCATGATACAAGAGTAGTAGACACACATTCACCAAAGATCTGGATGACTTGCGTTTATCAGTGGTGAAGTTCTCAAAATTACTATCGTAAGTAGCTTCTATGAGTAAGCTACTCAAGTTCCAAAATGCTGGCCAAAAAGGTGTTTTTCTTTAAAGTATTTCTGAATACCGAGACTAGTTGGCTCTTAAGAGAGGTAGGAGTAGTTGAGTCACTTGTGAAGTCTCATAAGTGTACAATGAAAGTCACTCTTTTAGGCTTTCTTGGTCATGATCTGGGTTTCGTACCCAGATCATTACATTTACAAAGGGTCCCACATTGTCAGTTTAAAATACGAAAGGATTTACTTTCAGACAAAAACATGCAATAGGCAGCTTTGACATATTTAATAAAACAATAAACTTTGTGCTGACCTTTGGCAAGCGTTCGGGGTCACCAGGGTGCCGGGGGATAACCTTCTGTAACCTTTGGAAACCGTAGTCAATGGTGGGTTCGTTCAGAGCTGAAACAACAAACACCACGATGATGTGACAAACGCAGAGCACGCAGCTCCCTTACCAATCGGCAGCGCACCGCGACACCTGCGAGGGATCACAGCAAAATTTCCGTTCGCTGAAGCCGACTGTGAAGCTGTGCTTCAAACACTGTTTGAGGYTAGTTCCGAGGCTTTGCATCAAACAGCAACATAAACCTTCCCACTCGAGCGCCTGTGACAGCGGCGCTGAAAATTTTGGTTTGCATCTTCCAAATAGGAAGCGATCATTATCTCCAAGAGCCACAATGAAATTCATTTGATAAATGCTTTGCACTCGGTGTTTCATGCGGATTTCTTCCCTGTTTTCATGTTACAAGGAAGGTCCCTTGTGATTGGAAAACAAAAGAACTAACCATTAGGGAGTCCCTCTTGTTCCAGATTCTATTATACATTTAATATGCTCCATGTGCAATGATCACATATAATTTTGTTGTGGGCTACACACATTTGTCTTGGCAGAGGCTTTATTCTTTATTCATCAAAATGGAGTAAATGACATAGTTCCTATTGACTTCAGTAGCGCAGCTCAGGCCTCAAACAGCACTAAGCAAACTAATCCACAAGACTTAATAAATTTTAAGATAATTCATCTGTGTTGTTAGTTTGTCTTTCTCCAGTGCTTGTCAAGGAAAATGGAGTAGAGAAATGAGGAAAGTGGAATACTTTAATCTTCATGAAAATGTTGGTCTGCCTGCACTTAATCGAAGCTCTGATTGTGCCCAGCCTTTAAGCACATGCTTATCTGTAAGCACATACTTAAACCCATTTGCTTTCAGCAAAGCAAATTTGAGCATATTATGTTTTTTATATGATTGCCTATAATTACAGGGGACTGCATTGAATGACCTCCTAGCTATATTTCCAGTCATATGATCACTTTAGAACTCAGATGTTAGTGAGACTTCAAAGTGTGCTTAAAATTTCCTAAGTGCCTTGGTGAACTGGAACAAGAGTCAAGTGTTCTCAAGCATCTCTAAACAACAGTATATCTTGACTCTCTCTTGCCAGCAGAGACAATGAGATTTTTCATATCAATTTGGATTTTTTTTGAGTCGAGGTTTTTTTTTTTTTTAATATAAAACTTTCTATTTTTGTTGGGAAGAGAATCCTTTTTTAAAATATATTTTTGAATATAAATTATTATTTTTGAAATGTAATTCTACAATGGATGGGGTTTCTGACAACCAAATTAGCATTTTACATCCTCATGGACCTTCAATACATCCTGATGCTGTAAATGATGGCCAGCAATGCTAGTGAAAATCAAAGCAGAAAAAAGGTGGAATATGGGAAGCAAGCTCCAATCTGCAGCTCACGACAACTAGCTAGGGCTGCACACAGGCCACGCACAATCTCAGCCTTTCTCTGATTTCTAAAGGGAATCATCTGAGCATATCCTGAAATGACTGTTAGAGCATTATGATAACATCAGGCAAGAAACCTTGCAGGAGGTGCTATTCCCTGAAGTTTTTGATTTCCCCAAAGATCCATGGGTGCCTCCAGCCTCTTCAATTTTTTTTTCATTTATTTCCTTTTATCAGTAATACCTGTAGTTGACATTTTATTTATATTCAGGTCATCATATAGAAGGGATGAGAATACTGCTATTCCTCTGCTTGAGGCTTTCTTCTTTTTTAAATGGCTGGACCTTTTTTCAAGTTTTTCCTTTCACATTGGTCACATACTGGCCACTTTGTTCTGTAGTTTTACAGAAAATATCACATTACCTTTGTTTGTAAATCCCCAGTTCCATTACCTTTGAGTTTCTGTACATGTCCTCCTATTGTGGAACCATCTAGTTTAGAGCTTTCTCAAATTTTTCAATAAATTAATTTAATGCCATTTGTATTTATTATAAAAAATAGCTGTGCTCTGAGAAAATAAAAAATCCCAACAGTTTTAATTTACATTTCTTTTGCAAATATGTTAGAAGGTTTTAGCGTGGTTCTGTCAAATGTATTTCTTCTCTAATTCAGTCTAGTTTATGGCTATTTTCTCCTCACATCCTTTGGGAAAGTAGTTACTAAATTCTGCAATGTTATAAATGGAGGCCAGTTTTGAAATCCCCCCCAGAGATAGCAGTCATTTTCTCATATCTTCCCACACATCCAACACATTTGAAATCCACAGAGTATTTCCTGCGAGTATTTTCTGAACTAAATGACCAAAAAAAATGTTAATTTTATGGTCCAATCTCACAAGGCATCAAGCATCCTCTGAGAGATACTTAAAACTTTCTGCTCCAGATAGCTTCAGCTTTACTTTAGTAGAGAAAAAAGGCTGCACAGAGCAATTTGCAGGACGGAGTCCCAAACAGTAGTTTCCAAATATCACTTGTTAGTCCATAAACATACCAAATTTGCAATCTTAGGTAAAATGAGCAAGGAAATCTTTAGCTGCCTGAACATCTACCTACAGACTGGACTGCGTCAGACTTCCAGTCCTCATTGCATTTATAATCCAAATCAAATGTAATTAGTCATTCTCCATGAAAAACTTTCATTTCAGTGTTTAACCTCAACCTCAGAATCAAGGCCAAGCTAGTTTCTGTGTCCATTGCTAGCCAAACTCAAACAGTAAAATTAAATAYAAAAAAAAGTTCAGACTTTGATCTCATTACATTGGGGAAATGTTGGTGTGCTGTCCACCACTCAGAGCAGGTAACGGGGGGTATCATGAAGGCGTTCATGGAGGGGTTTGTCTCTGCCTTGAGGCTGTACAAGAGCAGTATCTAAGTCTCAAGTCCATTCCCAGTGATATGTTTCCTAGTGCTCTAATTTAAACATTTTCCCCTGTGATTGGGGGGAAAAAAAAAAAAAAAAAAAGAAAAAAGGAAAGGAATCAATAAGAATTTCAAACTCTCTATTTGTGTTCTTGACATCCATACGTTAAAAACAAGCTTACACATACTGTACTTAAAATGCATTCCCATTACCCTAAATTTTAAAAGTACTATTGAAAGTAYTACTAACTAAAAGAAAAAAAAAAAGTATTAAATTCAAATATGTCCCAAGGCTAATGGAAGCAATTTGTATACCAACCCAAACTGACTGGCCCACTTTTCAAAATACAGGTATGATAATCTTGCAGTTTTAAAAGGACATTTAAATTGAAAGACTGTGAATTTAGTACATAATTATACCAATAGAACCCTTTAACTTGTCAACTTGTAAATCTAAAAGGCTATCAATCATTTCTAAAGAGGAAATAAACCTTAAAATTCTTTGATTGACAGTGCTTACTTTTTATGTGGGGAAAAAAAAGGAGTAAAGTGGCCAGAAATCCATTTACAAAAGTACATTGTTTTACATAGGTGAGTAAAAAGCCAATAATTACACTTCCAAAAGACATATAAATCAAAGTAAGTACTTTTCCCTCACTTACATATTTTAAGTTGCAGTAAACTTCAGGCAACTTTTATTAAAATACTTCTCCAAATGCAAAGCTTATTGAAGCCATTAATAGAGTAGCATTTTCATTTAAACTAATATAATCATTTTTGCAAATACAAGATTTAAGCCATTTTTCTCCTTCCAAACAATAAACTTTCAGCCTGTCTCTTGTGTGAATTAACTAAAATTACACCCAGGTGTACAAAATCTGTCTATCTATCGCAGTGTATGAGTTAAAGCACAATATTTATTATTCTTACCATTTTATGAATTACTTCTTAAACCCTTGAGGAAGAACTTTCTTTCAAATTAGACTCTAGCAGAACAAGCCATGAAGCTCTGTAAGCAGCAAGTCTAAAGCCGTAACTCATAAAATCTTAGGCTTTTAATCAAGAAAATGCACAATGCCTATGGAAATAGGATGCATACATTATATTCATCTTTTCAAAGTCTAACTTATTTTTCAACAGAAATGTTGCTTATACATCTGCAAAAACTGTTTCCACCATGACTATAATTTCAAACCCTGCACTGATTAATTATAATAACTACATGTAGATGATCCACCACCTTAAAAAGTCTCTTTCTTTCTCTTTTTTTTTCATAACTAGTCGGTAGAGGAATTTTTTTTAATATTTCACATAATGAATTCCTACTGTGTCAATAAAGCTTTGGTTGTTAATTGAATGACTGTCTGATATATCCGAGAGAGGAATTTGTTTCTCTGGCCACGCTGCCAACTTACAGCAGAATGATCGACACTTAATATCAGCAATTAAAAGGAYCTGTTCAAATATCATATGGAATTCGTAGCTTGGGGTAGTGTAGAAGAACYCTTCACCGAGGAAAACTCATTCAGCAAATGCACAGAGTAATTGAATTAGACACATTTTAACATTATTATTCAAAGAAAAATAAACACACACTACATAGAAGCATTATGGAAATATTTCAGAACGTGAAACATATTCAGTTAATTTGTTTCCCATGCATTCATGGTTTCATTTATTCTTTCTATTTTTCGCCCTTTGTTTCTTTTTCAGTCTGCTTGACCCAAAACCAATGAGAAAGCAGYACTTAGACCTATGAACTTCCCATTTTCTTCTCCAGTGGCTGCAGCCAGCATCAAGGCTGCAAGCAGAGCGAGGGAGCGAGAGAGACTCAAATGACAAAAGCAAAGAAGCTACTGCAAAAGACTAGAGGTTGCAAACAAATTGGCCAAAGGTCCAGGGGTCTGACAGCCCCTATCCCAGAAGAGAAATCTGACCTTCCTTGTWGTAAGTGAGACTCATAGGGAAAGGCTGCACATGGGAATCAATGTCCCACAGTGAGTATCCCTGTGGTACACTGAAGATCCATAGGTTATCTTGGGAACATATAGTGGGTGAGAGTTCTGTCTCCAGAACAGAACTAGACCTCTATCAAGAGGTCTCCTGATCTGTAAGGTCAGAGAGATGCAGAAAGGGACCTTAGGGGCTTTTTTTCTGTGGCTATCTTTCGGGCTTTTTTTCCTTGGCTGATGACAGAATTTCACCAAAACCTAAACAGAAATCGACTCCGTGCCCATAAGGAGAA